AGGGGCAGGCACTACCTCTTTCTACATGTAACAGCATTTGTCGTTCAGGTTATAGTAGGATGAAGAAAGAAGGGAAGCCATTTTGCTGCTATGATTGCCTTCAGTGTCCAGAAGGGAAGATTTCTAATGATGAAGGTATGAGGTGACCTGTGGAGATTTTCTTGGCTATATTTACTGTAATGAATCATGTGCACACCAGGTTTCAGAGAGACTAATTATCCTAGTGTTTCCAAAAGAACTTCACAAAGTGCTGATGGTGTTTTCTAGTAGTTCAGTACTTTTACTTGGGTCTAGGGATGCCAACTGCCAGGCACACCCTGGAGATCTCAAGGAATTTCACTTGATGTCTAGAGTACAGAATTCAGTCCCCCTGGAGAAAACAGATGCAGCTTACAAACTCCTTTCCCTTCCCCTCCCCACAACAGGCACCCTGTGAGGTAGGTGGGGCTGACAGAACTCTGACAGAAACTGCTCTTTTTCAAGAACAGCTGTGCCAGAACTATGGCTTGCCCAAGGTCATCCAGCCAGGGGAATCAAACCTGGTCCTCCCAGATTAGAGTCCGTGCACTTAACCACTACACCAAACTGGTGTTATACCATGCTCCCCTCTCCAATCTTTGCCCCCCCAGCCCCCCAAACCTCCAAGAATATCTGAACCTGGAAATTTCAACCTGAATTGCCCCAGCTCTGCTGATACTGACCTCAGACAAAAAATGGTCTTTCATTGGGCAGGCCCCTCCAAATGCATTGCAGGGAGACCTCCTGGCCCTTCCCCAGAAACCAGCACAGTCCCTGTCCTCAGGGATTCAAGGGGCAAGGAATGTAGCAGGTGGTCACTGGTGTGTGTGGGAGGTAGTTGTGAATTTCCTGCATCGTGCAAGTGGTTTGACTAGATGAGCCTGGTGGTCCCTTCCAACTCTATGATTCTATTAATCTAACCTCCTGAGCAGAACGGCACCTCATTGGCAGCTCTGAAGTCACTACAGGAGGTATATGGGACCTTGCACGCCCCCCATGGGGCTATGCTGCTTCCCAGACCAGGACAAAATGAGTTCTATGTTCACTAAGTTGTCTCTGCCACACAGCATTCATCTTCCACTAAAATTACTGTTCATGTAAGACCAAGGGTTTGCAATGAGCATTTGTACAAATGGAATTCCTAGATGAAAGGAGGCATGCTCCATAACAGAGACTATCCGGTGCACCCACAATTTGTTTCTAGGAATCACTACAACAAATCCAGATAACATAAAGGGAGAGAAGATACCATATGTGAATGGAATTAGGTTCCTGAGTATGACTTTGCATATATACTTGTACTGGAAGACAACAGGGTCCCCCCCCCCTTAATTTGCGAACAGGGAATTGTCTTTCAGGGCTAAATATTGAGGACAGGTTACTGAAATTATTTACATGTTGGACGATCATGTATATAAACCACATTGTCTTTTTCAGATATGGATGACTGTTTTCCATGTCCAGAAGATCATTATCCTAACAATGACCACAATTTATGCATTCCCAAAGTTATAAGCTTCTTATCTTATGAAGACACATTGGGAGCCAGTCTGGCTACTTCTGCCCTTTCTTTATCACTCCTCACAGTTTGGGTCCTTGGGATCTTCATTAAATACCAGGAGACTCCCATTGTCAAAGCCAACAACCGGCACCTCACCTATACTCTTCTCATCTCCCTTCTACTATCTTTCCTTTGTGTTTTACTATTCATTGGTCGACCTGAAAAGTTCATGTGCCTCCTTCAACAAACAGCTTTTGGCATAATATTCTCTCTAGCCGTGTCTTGTGTGTTGGCCAAAACCACCACTGTGGTTCTAGCTTTCATGGCCACCAAACCAGGATCAAGAACAAGGAAATGGGTGGGGAAGAGACTGGCTAACTCCATAGTTATTTCCTGCTCCCTCATTCAAGCCATTATTTGTACTTTGTGGCTGGCAACTTCTCCTCCATTCCCCGATTTTGACATACACTCAATAACTGAAGAAATTGTACTACGATGCAATGAAGGGTCAGTTGCTATGTTTTACTGTGCCTTGGGCTTTCTGGGCTTCTTGGCCCTTGTCAGCTTCACTGTGGCTTTCCTAGCCCGGAAATTACCAGACAGTTTTAATGAGGCCAAATTCATCACTTTCAGCATGTTGGTCTTCTGCAGTGTTTGGTTCTCCTTTGTTCCAACCTACTTAAGCACCAAGGGGAAATACACAGTGGCTGTGGAGGTTTTCTCCATTTTGTCTTCCAGTGCTGGATTACTGGGTTGCATCTTTTTCCCGAAATTATACATCATGATTCTGAAACCTGAGTTGAATAATAAGGAACAGTTACTAAGGAGGAAAAAAGGAGAAGAAAAATAGAACCCTAACATTTGGTGGCCATGTCTAAGTTGAAGCTATCCTTGGTTAAGACACATTGTAAGCAATACAGTATCATTTAGTTATGTGTAATATGCTGTATGAATATAAGCAGAATTCTTCTGTATGGTATCAATGCTCTATTTAGACTCTTTTGCACTGTGCCAACCAGTTGCCCTGGAGGACTTACGAACAGGGCATAGAGGACAAGGCTTTCTGTGACATTTCATCCTTCCTCTTGCATCGTATTAAGTTCTCTTTCGTCAACGTGGCTGGTCGCTCTTGATAAACCTATCCACCATGAGACTCTCTAATCCCCATGAAACCATTCACAAAATTTTTGGTTTCAGTTGGAGTTTATGTTGAGAAAACATTGTCTCTTTTATGTTATCATATTCACCCACTCATCATTGTATAAATCTCATGCAGTCAGCAGAGGAAATCCAGACATGACATTAAATTATTGTCTAAAGTTTACATTCAATTCTCTTCATTCCTCCTAAAATAAATAGCCTTAAAAATTACTTTTTCATATGTGTAAGAACTACCACCGGTGCTGCAAGAATTATGTAAGAAGTCAGCTAGCCAAGTGTTTGTTTTTTGTTCATTGAGCTGTGTGTGTAATGGTGCATATCAGTATCATGCACTGGGATCTTTGGAGGGGGGCTCAGCTCTTCCAAGTCCTGTTCTCCGCTCTTATCCTTTGCCTCCCTCCAGTCCTCATCCCATCATGTCCTCTTCAGCCCCAGTGGTGTTTGCCAAAGAGGTGGCCACTGTACATTTCAAGCACTGTATTTAAGGGGTTGTGAAGAGAAGGGACATTATCCAAATATACTCTTGCTGCAGTCTTGGTTTTGGTCTCGGTATCTCTTGAATCAAAGTTGTTATTGCTGGTCTCTCTTTTGCCAGTGCTGCTAAGAGCCAATGAATAATTCACAGCAACAAGTTCAGTCTGGAACAGAGGCAAGAATTCACTTGGTGGGAGAGGGAAGAAGAAGCGGATCATGAACAAAGCTAGCTCTCTCTCAGCTCTCCCCCTCCCCCACTTTTGCAAATGCAGTCCCCTCCACACTGGTGTACCCCAGCCAATGCTGTCCACCCCTCAGAGTGATGGAGGAAAGAAAACCAGCCAAATGGTGGCTTTTTGATCCGTTTTTAGTCCTATAGTGGGAACTTTTACTTATGAACAGGAGCCCCAAATTGAACACATTGGGCTGAATCCAGACTAAACTGGCAAATTCTGCTGATTCCTCATCCTCACTTTATCCCCCAGGAACAACAGACAGTGGAGATCAGTGGGCTGGAGTGTGAGAGGGGAGGCAGGAATGTTGCCTTTTCCACTGGAAAATTTAGTTTGGATTGGATCCATTATTTGGTTAAAGAGCCCTTGTGGTGTAGTGGTTAGAGTGCTGGATTAGGATCTTCAACTTCGGTCACACATACTAAACAATCCACTTTCATTCCACTTTTGGTGCACTTTCCAACTGGATTTTACTGTGTGAACTGGCAAAATCCAGTTGGAAAGTATATTGAAAGTGGATTATTTAGTGTGTATGACCACTGCCTTGGAGACCCAAGTTCCAGTGAGGCTCTCTGGATGACCTTGAGCAGTTGCTGCCTCTCAGCCTGTTGTGAGGGGAAAGTATGGAGGAGGAAAGAGCCAAGTACCCAAGGGGAGGGAATATTAAACATTGCACTTGGTTTTTTCATGAATGTTTTGGAGCCCTCTGAAAAAGCATTTTGGATAGCAGCAAAAATATCTCATGAACATTCAGAGTGGCACCAAAATTAGTAGAACTTGGAAGTTCTTAACTGTAACTGAATCACAAACAGATTCACGGTTTTGATTCTTGTGACGCCATAAAGAAAAATACTGTTGCAGAGGTGATTATCTTCCCTAAAATTTCCTCATACATTAATAGATCCTGTCTGCCAAACCCATAGGGAATTGTTGAAAATGTGTTGATAAAAATACCCTGCATACTAGCCAGAGTAGGAGAAAAGGGGGTGTTAGCTAGTGAGTCCAGGCTACTTTCCCCCTTTTAAATCTGGAGCTCAAGTGTGAGATGAGTTTTGCATCACCTTCCACAGCTATTGAAGGCTGGATGCTCTAAACAGAAGGATGCTGGATGATAATGATCAAGACAGACAGGAGATTCTATGTCAAGGGAAGAGGGCTTTGCATCTTCATGACAGGGTTCAATGTGTTACTACAACTCCTGGTGTTGCTGCTGCTGCTTCAGACTAAATGCAAGATGAATCCTGCCATATGTCTTATGAATGATCCCTGGTTCCTGCCTGTTTTTAGAGGAAGCCAGTAGTTGCCCACCCCTCCTGCCTTTTTGAATGGAAACATGTGGGGGGGAAATAGCCAATGAGATTGAGCCCCATTACAGCCAGTGGGTTCAGTGACTGAGAGGTCCTTGGAGGGACAACAGCGCTTCCTTACCTCTCCAGCCAACAATCTCCCCACCCACCCTGCAATAATCACGTGGGATTATCTGGTTGCCTGTTAGTGACCGAGAGGATTTTTTTGTTCCCCCACCCCATATTGGCTTTGAGGGGGGCCTTTTTTCACCTGCTGTGGATGGCTGGCCAGGGAGGATTTAAATAGTTCTGTTTATTCTGGTTAAAGGTAAAGGTAAAGGTTCCCTTGCTTGAAAGCCAATCGAATCCGACTCTAGGGTTGCGGTGCTCATCTCCGTTTCAAAGCCGAAGAGCCAGTGATGTCCGAAGACGTTTCTGTGGTCATGTGGCCGGCATGACTAAACACCAAGGCGCACAGAACGCTGTGACCTTCCCACCGAAGTGGTACCTATTTATCTACCTGCAATTTCTTGCTTTCGAACTGCTAGGTTGGCAGGAGCTGGAACTAGAGATGGGAGCTCACTCCATCATGCGGCACCCGGGTCTCGGACTGCTGAACTAACGACCTTCCACAGCCGGCAGTTCAGCGTCTTAACCACTTGAGCCACCACAGCTCCTGATTCTGGTTAGGCCATAACTAAAAAAGCAGGAACAACATGGGTCAAGGGAATTCAAACTGGCAAGCACCCGATACATCTAAATATGGGGGTGCTTAAGCTGGGTACTTATTGGTTTGCAGTCTGGGTAGTCCAGGGAGCACCTCTGAGGGGGGGGGGTTGGGGAGTGTATGACAGGTCCTGAGGCTAGGCAGTCATGAGCCTGGACTGTACCCTTCTTTCCCTTCTATGCACACTGGTGCAGGCAATGAAGAAAAAGATTCAAATAAATTCTGGATCTGGATTGGAGCAGGGATGGTGTTGCCTGGTAAGGAGGCTTGCATTGCAAGCTGGTGGAGACCTGTGTTTTAAGTGTTAATAAAGTTGCAGATCAGCTGGTTTAAATAAATTCTTAGTTCAACCCAACACTGGTGTTGCATTTTTATCCAAGGGGTGGGCAGGCAATACTTCCTGAACACTCAACTGCTTTTGCAGTAGATCACATGCACAAACGGCTACAAACCAGGTGTCTTGCAGTACTCCTCAAAATGTTTGTAAAAATTGTTCTCCCAACTCCTCAGGATCAGGATAAGAAATCCTCCTATGTTATGCCCTTATAACAATTTAACAATCTGTTGAACACATTCTAAATATGCAGATGAAAGTCAACGGCTTTCATACTGTAATTTCCTTTTTCCTGGATAGGTTGTGCCCCTTGGTATGTGCAATGACAGCTGCTAGCCAGGTTTCAGCAGAGAAAGGAAAGAAGGAGAGCCGTTTTGCTGCTATGATTGTGCTAAATGTCCAGAAGGGAAGATTTCAGATTATAAAGGTTAGAGACAACATATTATTTAACAGGCAAGAAGGAGATGAAAGTGTTAATTAAAAAGAAAAAAGACTAAATGGGACGAGAACACTTTTCCCTACCCAAACATATCCAATGATCTCTTTATTCCACTTCCTTGTCTATTTTCTTTCTTTTTCAGTCCATTTCTACTGGATACATGCATGAAAAAAACCTGGGTGAACACTTTGATATAATAAACAAATAAAAACTCTGTGTAGGTGCAAACACACCGACAAAAACAAATACACACATAGTGTGTATAGTACTTTCCCTAAGTATCATAAACTTCTCTAGTAAAGAGATTTTTCAGCAGCTTTTGAAACAGGGTGTGTCTGAAAATCTGAAACAGTCTCTGTTCCCGGTCACACTGGCCAGAGAATGCAGGGGGGAGGCATGGCTTATCGCTCTGCCACACTTGTGACCCAGCTGAATGCGATCAGATGCGATGCCAGGGAATCAGGGATAGCATTTTGTCGGCACACGTTTCCGGCATGCTTCATGCGGCGCTGGAGCGATCAGACAGAGGACGTCCATCTGTGGCCCGTCACAAGCGGATAATACTGGTGTTTCTGCATTAGCTTTGAACTACGAATCTTTGGCTGGATGCGATGGCTTGCCAGATGTGCTGCTGTGATTGCACCCATTAAATCCGCCTGGCATCCGTGAGTATCCCGCGGCAACTTCTGTGTATTATTGGAGCCTCTGTCTTCTTTCAAAAGATATGAATGACTGTTTCCAATAGCCCAGAGGATCAGTTTCCAAACGAGGACCAAAATGGATGCCTTCCAAAGGGACTCAACTTCCTCACGTATGATTACCCTTTGGGTTTCAGCTTATCACTTCTGGCTGTTTTTTCTTTCTCTGACCACAGCTGTAGTTCTTGGAATTTTCATCAAGCACTGGAATACTCCCATTGTCAAAGCCAGTATGGAGCAGGAGATACTTCCAGGCCATTTATATTTGCAATTCATCATGAAAACACTGCTGATTTTTAACCAGGGAAAGAATATTTACAATCTTCTCTTCACCTCCAAAGCTCATTTATCTCTTCATACAGCCATCTTTATTTCTTGAGACTTTGTTTAATAGAATTCTGTAATATGATTTTTTTTGGAGATTTATACAAGCCTTAAGGATGTGAATGAATTTATTAACCAAGCAAAATATGACCCCCAAACTCTTCTGCCTTTTTA